CCATGCTGGCTGGGGAATTCTGGGAGTTGAAGTCCACTCATCTTAAAGTGGCCAAGTTTGGACAACACTGGTGTAGGGATACTTTCCTGCAAGAGTGGCTGGTCACTCTAATTTCCATATACCCCACATTTTGCAACAATAATCAAAGAGCTCTAAGAAGCCAATTCAATCTCAGTTCAAAACTATATTGCAGATGATTTATGTGAAGCTGCAACCTTATCAGATTGCAAGGAGGAAGCCGGGTTACCTGCAGCAGGCCTTGCTTTCAAATTGCTGTGTTTGAATGCAAACAGAGCCAGAGCCAAAAACTGTGACTCAAAGATATCAACATGATAATAAGCTATTTGTTAGCAATATGTAACATGAGATTGATTTGATTTACACAGCCTTAATCTCCCATTCACACAAGGTAACATGCTCATTAATCTGCTAGTTTGAAAAAATGTTTTTCTTTTCCCCCCACTCCTTTGCTTTTGTCTTTGTAATGAATATGCCTGTGGTGATACTATGGCGATGGCGTAGCAACAAAAACTCCTACAGTATTTCTTTCCCTGCAAGCTCTGCTAAAGGCTCTCAACTGTTGACATTATTACAAAATGGCAATACAATACCATTCTCCTCATGGGGCCCTTACCTGGGGCTGACAAACTCTAAACCGATTTTGTAGAATAAAAGCCCTTGGAAAATGCTGCATCAAGTGGATAAATGCTGCTTTAACACCAGCAGAGCCAGTTTGGTGTGGTACTTAAAGTGCTGGCCTGGAAACCAGGAGACGGTGAGTTCTAATCCCACTTGAGGCAGGAGAGCCAGCTGGGTGACTTTGGGCCAGTCCTTCTCTAAGCCCAACCCACCTCACAGGGATGTTGTTGTGGAGAAAATAGGAGGCAGGAACCTTATATACGCTGCCTTGAATTGTACAAAACAAAGGCAGGATATAAATCTAATAGTGATAAACATAATTTAACGCTCTCCGTGGAACAGTGAACTGTAAACCCAAGCAAGCCCACTGCATGCAGCAGCCCAGGTGCAGAAAACCACAAACCAGCTCCAGAAACAGAGGACTGTGAGTACTGGGGGGGGCGGGGAGAGAAACTCCTTTGCAAGTCTTTAGAGGAGTAAAAAGAGTTTTCACGTGCAAATGAACTGAGGTTGGCCACAAGAGCTGGAAGACCTGAGGGAAAAGGAAAAATTTAAATTGTTAAGAAATAGTTATGGTAGGAAAACATAGTACCACAAACATAGAATAGGAATATAGACAGAGAACCTAGAGATAGAAATCTATAGGTTAAATAAGATAGAAATAATTGTAAACTTACAGTAATAGGAAGAGAGTAGAATAATACAGGAAGGGCAACGGAAGCAAGCATAGACTTAGCATTAAGTGTAGAAGTAAGGAATAGGATTTTTAATTTTGCACAATAAAACAGTTTTTGTGGGAAAAACAAATGCAGCCACTCATGGGCTGAGAGGAGAGGCAGGCGATATTATGTTGCTGGATAATATCTAAACCTCAGATGGCAAGGAGAAAATGCTGTTCTTCTCCCCATTTCTGCTCAGATAATAAATGCTTCTGAACGTGTCTAAGTTGCATCTTACAGTAAACATGACCCAATGCACCCTGGGAATAAACATTGCATCGAACATACTGGAACACCTTTTTCTACTCAGAAGAAACTGTGCCTGTGCACTGTCCTGGTGGATACCCGTCAAAAGAGACTTTTTTGATCGGGGTGTGTAAGGGATTGGTTTATATAGGTTTCCCTGGGCTTGGATTCTTAGTGAGAGAAAAGCAGGAGTGCACGATGTGAGGCCCTGCGCTCCCATGCCTCAAATGTTGGGTGCTGAGTGTTAATGGGACAGAACATGCAAATTGGTTGAATACATGGTGAGAAATCTTATTAACTCTATTTAAATAAATCAAGAGACAACGTCCTTCCCTTAGTCTGTGAGTAGCTGCCTACCCCCTGGAACAGACTGCTTCTAATCCCCCATAGGAACTGTTCCATAAACACCCACATTTTGGCCTAGTTTTCTTCCCACATGAAGCAGATTTCTGTTTGCTACCTCAGAGAGGTTTAGAATTTCTTTATCGTGCATGTTATCCTTGAGAGTGTTGTTCCATGGAGACAGAGAATGCTGTTGTCTTTTTCTGTTGCACATCATTCTGTCCCCCTGCTTCCTCTTGTCAGCCCGTGCGTCCCCCATGGAAACAATTCTTCATGTTTTCCCTTGGATTTGATGGAAGGGAGAGAGAGAGAGAGGCAGGGAGGACCCTGGAAAGATGATGGTATAAAGGGAGGCAGAACATTCACTTGAATGGCCTTTGGCTGTTCTGTCATTGAGATAAATGCCCAAACCCTGGGTCCCTCTCATGAGAATTTAACTGAAAACTGAACACAAACTGCCAACGCTTTCTTCTTTGGGGGAATCATCCAAAGCATTTTCCCCATCAGAATGAAGGGAAACTGCAAACAATGCAGACAAAAATTGTAGCATGTTATAACCCTTCAGTGTGATCCTACGGACAGATGTTGATAGCAAGGAGCAATGCAGAGGGAACTGAGAGATGATGAGACTGCAGCGCTTTCCCCATTCCAGTTGCTGGGGAGGATTCTGAGATCCCACACATTGAAAGGGCACCATACTGGGAAAAGGTGGCTTCAGAATTTATTAAAGGAAAGAGGGACTGAAAAGGAAAGGGAAGAGGGTGAGTGAAAACAGAGAAGACAGGGAAGGCAAGTTCAGCAGTAGCACCAAAAACAACATTTTGCCTTCCTCCAGTTTTCTCCAACAGCTCTACAGTCAGTTGAATGGCAGAGGCTGAGGCTTGCCTGCTACTATCTTCCAGCTCTAGATTGTAAAGCTACACAGGTCTTACAAATAATTTCACCATGCCTTTTAATTGGTAGTACTGGGAGCTATCTGTCTGTCTGGAGGCTGAGGTAGATTCATATTTAAAGACATGAATTAGCTAGATCTGGGTGTGAAAGCCGTGATTTACTGGGCCTTAGTTTCTGAGGTTGATTCTGGTACATCTGTTCTGTAACACTGCAATATTGAATGAATTCTGATGTGTGGATTAGGGCAGGGGAAGCAACTTCTGAATGGTGAGGGGTCTCAGGAGGCTGTGTAATGCTGCAGAGTTGTCACTGAGGGGAGTTGGCCAACATTTCCACCTCATTTTAGGCAAGGGAGGGTTAAAGATGGGAATGGAAGTAGGAAGCCTGCGGGAAGCAAACCAGTACTATTCCCACCAAACCCCTAAATCCTAAAAAAACAGTTTGATCCCACTTTGTCAAAATCCAGCCATTTTGCAGCCAAATTTCAGCAGCATAGTTTCAGGTGCTTAGGTCTCCAGATAGGGATACTGGAGGACTGCATGCAGGTTGGGGGTTGCCTAACCTTGCATGAAGGCACAATTCTATTTTTCCTATTCAAATCTGAGATCAAACTCTACACTTCCATACAAAAGGTTGTCCTTATTTAAGCTACAAGGGGACATTGCATTGTTCATTATTCTGTGTACATTCCATTCTGTCTTACCTATATCATTGCCTTTAGCACTGTTTTTTCATTTATAAGGGATCTGGTTTTGATGTCAGCAGTGACAAAAGCACACAAGTTGATCATATCACAATACAGCACAATTTACTGTAATAGTAATAGTCCCATTTTATAACCAAAAAACAACACCCCCAAATCTCTTTTAATTGATAGCAAAATCCGATAAAATTAGTCATTTTCCAACTGTGTTTGGAAGCTTTCTACTCTTCACAAAAGAGTAATTCAAGTGTGATCTTAAACCATTTATTTCTTCACTTTTCTAAAACAAGAGATGATGGAGATGGCTCATCAAATTACAGATGTTTCCTATAACAGATTAACTCAGGGCATATTCTTTTCCTCTTCTACAGCTACACCCTCATCACCCCTGATGTTCTGCGAACGGACACAGACGAGCAAATTTTAGTAGAGGCCCATGGAGAAAATGCTGCAAAAAATATTGAAATCTCTGTTCACGATTTCCCACAGAAGCAGAAAACCTTGTACCAAATCCAAGCAGAACTAAAGCCAGATAAAGGCATGTTTGTCACTCCAACTATAAAGGTGGGTATATGGTGATGGTTGCAGTAGAGTCTATTGTATCCCTGCAAAAAATCAAGCTAGAATCCTGTTTAGTCTGGCTTGAGAGGAGCTCCCATGGACCCTAGTAGAACATGCCTAGACTGTCAGATGTGAGAAATTGAGTGTATAACCATAAGGAAGAAAGGAAAACTCAATTATGGGATATACACTATATGTATTATATTACAGTTCTTTTTAGCACACCCAGTCCTGAAAGACTCTGGGCAGCATACCACAGCAAACAAAGAGAAAGTAAAATATAATAAATACTTAGATCAAAATCAGTATCAAAACCAAAAATCAACCACAGGAAGAAACCAAAATAAAACCCGACAGACACCCACAAAATATGGCAAAATTAAGGTGATTAATAAAACAAACTGCTAAGCTGGCTTTTAGAACCAGATTGCTAGAGATTCTGAAGCAGTCTAAGTATAGTGGTTAATAAACATGGAATGTCAGTGGGCCAAAGAGCAGACTTTTCAGTTCTAGAATGTAGACATTTCAGAAAACTCCAAAGGCTTCTGAGCAATCTTTGTTCTCCCTAACCCAAGGAGGAGAAATTGGACTAGTCCGTGGGCTGGTAGAATTATGTTCACTCTCAATGTGAGCAATGGTAAGAGAAAAAAAGGAGAATGCTGAATGCTATATCTCCCTGGCCAGTCTCTTGTCAGCAGTCCTGGATTTTCCAGAGGGCTTCAGTGTTGGAATGTTATTCCCTGACCAAATCCCATCCAAGTCCTAACCAGGTTCAACTCTGCTAAGTGCCTGAGTCCAAAGAATGTCAAACAGGTGCTGTCATCTGGTGGGACAATTAGACTGAGAAAAGTTCTGCAAATTAGACCATAATCTCACTAACAGAGTTGCTAAGTTTCTGTATGGAGTGATTTCCATGAGAAGGCATGTTAGATGTCCTAACTTTGCAGTGATGACATTACAATTTTTTCTTGTTCTTTTCTTGTTTATTCCATTTCTATTTTATCTTCTATTTTATCTTGTTTTATTGCATCTTACTCAATTTTTTCTTTTTTCCATTGTTTAAGTCTTAACTTTTAGGTTTATACACCCAATACACTGCTTTTCCTATGTATTGCTGCTATGTTTTTATATTGCTAGTCATTGACTGTACCTAAATAAATTTGATTTGATTTGACTGATACTAGTTAAATAAGATTATTGTATACATTTTCATTATTTCTCCCTGAATGAGTGTGCTTGTACATCATTCCTATTTTGATTACTTTACTTATTGTTTAACATATAATCATTTTTAATGAAATAAGTTCAAATTTTACAGAAACTCTCACTAAATAAGCCCTGTAAGGTTCAGAGCAGCCTCTGCCTACTGGGTGCCATATGGAGGTCTTAAACTACAGCCTGTGCCAGCTCACTTTAATGGGAGTTGTAGAGTCAGAAAGCAGAGGTTGTCCAGTAATTCTCAGACACACTTATCATCAAAGAAATGTTCTTCATTGCTGTGCTGGTTAGGGAACTGGGGATACTCTGAAATTCATAGATTCTAGCAGTATTGTCCTGTAATAACTTTTGTATAATTTGTTTTACCTGCTAGTTAAGACCAGGAATAATTAATTTGATTACTTAGCTCTGGGGTTTCAATCTCTCAGCCTGCGGGTGGCATGAAGCCACCCAAATATTTTTTTTTTCAGTCTGCAACGATACTTACACATTAAAAATAACAGACTATAAAATAAATAGTATCTATGCACGTTAAAGTCCCTCCATTCTGATTTTATGGTGGATTTTGTTGGCTGAGTGATTTTGGCCGGTTATTGTGAGGAAATGCATAGCTAGTTATTTTCATGTAAAAATTACATACCATACAATTATTATCATAAGGAGATACATTGTTGGATTATCCAACTCCATATATTCACTGGAAGATAGATAGATAGATAGATAGATAGATAGATAGATAGATAGATAGATAGATAGATAGATAGATAGATAGATAGATACAATAATTAGCCAATGGAA